CAAGTCCCGCCCCTGTCTTTCTCAGAGACAAGGCGAAATTCACTCAATTGTCCAAAACCCTCTACGATAAGGGTTTCAAATATGACCAAGCCACTAATGTCGGCGAGGCCATCAAAATTATGCCGGCGTCTATAAAAGACTTCCGTAACATAACCCGCCTATTCACGGCCAAGCGTGTGTCCTACCACACATACGCCCTCGCCGAAGAAAGGAAAGTCAAGGCAGTCCTCCGCGGAGTTCCCTATGAACTCGAAAGACATTCTGGAAGACCTTAAATCCCAAGGCTTCCCCATTGAAGGTGTGCATAAAATGCACAGCAGCAGGGGCGAAAGGTTAAACCTCGCCCTCCTCGTTCTCACCAATGTGCCGGAGGCGAAGGCCATTTTCCGCGAGGTACGCACTGTGTGCGGCCTGTCGCGTGTTAAGGTCGAAGCCCCTCACCGGCGCGGTTACCCAGCACAGTGCCACCGCTGCCAACTCTATGGACACGCGGCTGCCAACTGCTCAGCTCCACCCAGGTGCATTAAGTGCCTAGAACCCCATCACTCGAAAGAGTGCCCACGGCCCAAAAACGCCGAATCCCCACCCTCATGTGTCCTCAGCGGACAAACAGGCCATCCGGCCAATTTTAGAGGTTGCCCTCGCGCCCCTCGCCCACCTCCGAGCCGCAAAGCTCCACCACAGGTCAATGACCGAACCTTCCCGGCTCTTGTAAGCCGCAAGCCCAGCCAGGGCTAGCCCCTACCTCAGCCCCCTCAAGGCTCATCTCAGCCCACACAGGGCATCTATCGGCCACCTCAGGGCCCTCCTCGGCCCCTTATGAGCCTTCCGCTCTCTCAGCCAGCGCCGCTTCCAATAAACCCCCTGGTTCCAAAAGGAATCAAATATCCCGCGGCCCTCCGCCGACCCAAAAAAACAGACAGACCCTGTAGTAGAGTCTCTCAACCTAGTGTATAACACTCTCAATAGGATCAACTTAGATGAAATCCTTATCCTTGCGGGTAAACTGAGCACAGCTCAGTCCCCTCAGGACCGTCTCCTTGCTCTTACTGAGCACATCAACCTTCTAAGGTCCTTGTAATTAAAACTATGCCGGAGCCCTCTGCTCCCGCAATATCTCACGGTCGTGTCAAACCAAAGGGTTTGTCGTTTGTTTCATTCAATATCCGCGGTCTGCGAAATAACCTCCCAGAGCTTAGGCTTTTTCTACGAGATCGCGAAGCCGATCTCTTACTCCTACAGGAGACCCATCTCAGCCCCAAGGTCTCTAAAGGCCTTACTATTAAAAATTATTCACTTCTACGTAACGATAGACCCGACCGCAAAGGCGGCGGTACTGCCATCTATCACAAAAAGTCCCTTCATTGCTCCCACATATCTACTCCGTCGCTTACCAGTATGGAAGCCACTATCACTAGACTAGCTATGACTGGACACCAGTCAATCATTATAGCCTCTTGCTATATCCCTAGCGGAACTCTCCCCGTCAAGAGTGATTTCGAAGCCATCCTTGCATTAGGCAACTCAGTCACTATGTTTGGAGACTATAACTCCAAGCATACTGAATGGGCCTGCCGCACTACTACCAATAGTGGCAAGGTGCTGCTCAATATCACTCAGTCTCTCGACCTGACTGTCTACAGCCCCCTCACTGCCACCCACTATCCCGACATTGTTACCTACGCTCCCGATGTGCTAGATTTTGCTCTAGTTAAAGGAGTTTCCCTTAACCTTAGAGCAATCGAGCCTCTCGACGATCTAGAATCCGACCACCGTCTTGTATCCCTCCTTCTTGGCCATCAGCCATCTCCATCTCCCACTTCCAAAACCTACACCAACTGGAAGGGCTTCAAGAAGTCTCTAGCCTCGGCTATAGACTCTCCGGACCCTCCCATAACCCTTTCTTCCGACGCCCTCGACAGTGCGGGAAAAATAGACACCGCGGTCGAAAATCTCACCTCACTTATAACATCCTCTCTTAAAGAGAATGAAAAAGTTGTCCCGGTTGCTAAAACTAGTCTTCCTCTAGATATTAGCAACCTGTTAAAAGCCAAAAAAGCTGCCCTCCGTAGAGCTGCACGCTATCCCACTCCCGAATATAGACTCGCGGCCCACCGCCTTCAACGCAAACTGCGTTACCGCCTCCAAGACTACAGAGACCACGAAAAGGGCAATTCATGGAGAAAATCTCTCCCTCTCACACAGCGTACTACCGGATGGCGAGAGCCCTCCGGATAGACGCTATAACTCATACTCCCCCCTCTGTCTCGTCCCGACGGCTCCATTGCCTTCGAAGACGAAGAAAAGGCTGAGTGCTTCGCGGACAGCGTTGCCGCTCAATTCTCTCCTAGCTCACAACCCACTGACCCCTTACACATCCAACTAGTGGAGGACGAGGTCCGACGCAGGAACTCGCCCCCTACCGCCTCTGACCCTATCACTGTGTCCAAAGATGAGATTTCATCTACCATCAAAGGACTTAAGCCCAAAAAAGCACCGGGTGCGGATGGTATCTCCAACCAAGCCCTCAAACACTTCCCGGAGCAGGTAATCGCCTTACTGGCCATTATCTTTAACGCCTGCTTCGAATTCAGTTACTTTCCCACCTCTTGGAAAGAGGCAACTGTCATTGGCATTCCCAAGCCAGGCAAACCTCTCCACCTCCCCCTCCAATCACCGTCCTATCAGCCTCCTCAAGGCCATGGGCAAACTTTTCGAACGAGTCATTCTCGTGCGCTTGAGGCGCCATTTGTTTCCCACAGACGGCGACCCTCTTGTCATCCCACAACAATTCGTGTTTCGAGCCAAACACTCGTGCTCCCAACAAGTTCACCGCATAGTGGAATACATCCTCAGCGGTTTTTACCCTCGCCGTCAAAAAACCATCGCGGTCTTCTTTGACATTGCCAAGGCATTCGACAGAGTCTGGCACGAGGGCCTTATCTACAAACTGTACGACTTAGGCCTCCCAGACCGTCCCGTTCGCCTTGTAGCCTCCTATCTGAAGGATCGTACCTTTCGTTTTAGACACGAAGGCACGCTATCCTCTACCCGTCAAATAAAAGCCGGTGTCCCTCAAGGCTCTGCGCTTGCTCCCCTCCTATACATACTATTCACCAACGACATCCCTATCCCGTCGAATGGTGTCAAACTAGCCCTCTTTGCAGATGACACAGCCCTTTACTCCAAAGGCAACTCACTACCACAGATTCGGAACAAGATTCAAAAGTTAGTAAGCGACTTAGGAGCTTGGTTCCAAAAATGGCGTATCGACGTAAACCCGGAGAAAAGCTCCGCCGTTTGCTTCGAATATAAACGACGTCGTCTCACCACCACTCCGCCAATCAGGATGTTAGGAACCCCTGTCCCATGGCAAACTAAAGCCAAATACCTAGGCGTCACCCTTGATGCAAGGCTCACTTTCGAGCCCCATATCAAGAAGGTTACGCGCACCGCACGTTTTTACATAGGTAGGCTCAACAGCATGTTGGGCATACACAGTAAAATGTCCCTCCGCAACAAGCGAACCCTATATAAGGTCTGCATACGACCTGTCATGACCTACGCGGCCCCCATTTTTGCACATGCTAAACCCAAAGCTATAAATGAACTTCAAATAGTTCAAAATCTATTCTATCATAGGGCCACTAACTCGCCCTATTATGTCCGTAATGCCGACCTACATCGAGACTTAGAGCTCCCAACAATCCAGCAATTCCTTAAATCACTCTCTGAGAGATTTTTCAAAGCCTCAGAGTCCCACCCAAATCATCTCATTCGTGAGACAGCTGCCTATGCAGCCCCTATCCACACTCGCTATAGTGTGCGCAGACCGAGAAACTCTCTCTCGGACCCCCCCCACCCCAACAAGCTTTCGGCTGACCTGAACTGCCTCCTGGCGGCTCAGGCCGAGCCTCCATAACACATCCATTAATCTGCCTTCTAAGCGGCTTTTCGCCGCTTGCGCCCTCCTTTCTACCAAGGAGGGTCGCGTTGGTATACGGCTTAGAGATCTCTAGTCAGATCGTTAAGCCATTTCCTAAAAGGCGGTGTTTAGTGGGTAAAAGTCTCCACATAACCACGCAGCCGGCTGCGTGGTATGCTATGAGCATTCACCGCCTCCCTCCCCCGCTTTCCGGAGGGTTGCCCATATTTGCTTCGGGCGCAAAAAAAAAAAGCTCGCCGCTCACTTAGAGGTCAGTCGCCGTAGAGTCTACATTACCTGAGGATGCCTCGTGTAGAGGCGAAACACGTGTCGTATTGTCGTCGATGGTGTGTCTTACCTCGAATAGTGGTGCTGGGACTAGTGGTGACGGAGTTAGTGCATGCAATTAGTAGCTACTGTGCTCTTAAAGTAATTGAGTTTATTTAAGTATTAAAGTTACAAAAGTGATATATGTGCTTATAACAAATATTGGAGATACTGAATATTAGTGTGGTGTATAATATATTTAAAAGTAATCAAAGGTAAAAGTGTAAATAAGGAAACAAATCAGTGTAAAAGTACCCTTTAATTGTTGTTGTGTAGCAAAGATATTAATTTGTCCGAACTTATAAACTTATTCCATATATTATTACAATTTGAAAAACATTTAATTACCAGTGTATCTAACGAAGTGGAATATTATTAATTTACTTATAAAAAACTAAGTTTTAACTTTTAGTATATTGATATTAATTAATATAATCCCTTCTGTGCTATCTGGTGGTCACTAGTTGCATAGATTAATAGTCTTTGTATATATCAATAACATGGCAAAGTGTGGAGCATGTGGCCGCTACCTTTCGGTGACAGATGGCGTTACCTGTGGCAAATGTGATGCCACATATCATCGAGGCTGCCTTAACTTATCTGAAAAGGTAAAAATATCAACTTCCTGGATGTGCCCAACCTGTAAGGGTAAAGTTCCTCGTGCTGGGGACAATTCTAATACACCGGTAAAGTGTCAGGATGTTGGAGATAATAGTCCCGTCTACAAAGACATTGACATAGTTGCGTAATGAGCTCAGAAATGCGCAATGAGCTGAAGGATATCAGGGACAATTTCGCCATGTTAAGGGATACAATGCTCGTGTGTAATAAAAATTTGAAAGAAATTGACGCTAAGGTCACCAAGTTGGACAACCGAATGGAAGAACGTGAGCACAAATGTAAGTCCATGGAGCTTGAGAACACAATAGCAGAATTAAGGATCCAACTAAGCGAGAGGGATCAGGATCTGTTAGTCAATGACTTGGAAATCTCAGGTCTACCGGAACAAAAAGGGGAAGTAGCCATTAACACTGTGATACTGTGCTAGAAAGTTAGGCCTTAATATTGACCACCGTGAAATTGTCCATGCCGAGCGTGTCTGAATATTACGCAAATCTATTGACATTAATAGCTCTCAAGAAGAAGCTCGTTTGGAACCACGTAGAATTATGGTGCGAATGAGCCGGCGAGCGCTGCGAGATGAATTTTTACGTTCCGCGCGTGTTCGGCGGACAGTAACCACTGAGTCACTGGGGTTACCTGGTGAGCCGCATCGGGTTTACGTGAATGAGTGGTTAACACCTTTGAATAGGAAGTTGTTTGGTAAGACTCGCGAGGCAGCGAAAAAAGCAAAATGGCGTTATACTTGGACGAAGGGTGGACATATTTTTGTGAGAAAGGAAGATGGAAAGCCTGTAACGCGAATTCGGTCCGAAGCAGACCTTAAGCGTGTTTTTTGTTAATCATGCGTTAGCTATTAATTTACTTTTTTTAATATTACTTTTTTTATTATCCTAACTCTTATGTTAGAGATAGCTTAATTAGGTTTGTTAAAACAATATTTATATTCTTTTATAAGTTAGTCTCCATAATAACAATTACATACAGTAAGTGTATTAATATTACTGTACATAAACTTAACATAATATATTGCTTTTCAAAGGGTTTATTGTTAAGTTTTAATTCAGCCTATTTTGTTTTATGTAAATCAGTATACATGTTCATCACGCATGAAATCTTTAAGTGTAATTTTCATTGTCTCGTTAGTATTTGTGTGTCTGACAAAAGTGTTCATACCGTGAGTAATCGCAATTTTACTTTACTATATTTTCCGGGTCATTAGTGGTAAACAGTTCCTTACGTTTTTTACTCTACTTACATAAACACAATCTTAATTTTGTATTTATGTATAAACACACATATTTTTATTTTTATATTTTTAACCTAAATAATTTTAACATTAGGAAAGAAATAAGATGGTCGTGGAGGGGGTGTAGGCTTCTACTTCAAAAAGGGAATCAACGCCCGAACATTATCTACTCCTAACCACAACTGTGTAGAAGAGATGTGGCTAGCCCTGCATATAAACTCAAAAAAAATTGTGATAGGCACGGCTTACCGCCCACCATAGCTTAGCGTTGAATTATTTTTTGATGCTATTACTGACAGCCTTAGCACATTTTCGCACGATTATGTTCTGATTTTGGGAGATTTTAATATTATTTTAATTGACACAGAAGATGTGAAGACCAAGCGTTTTATGGAATTTATAAATTATTTTAATATTAAACAATTAATAGATAAGCCAACACATTTTATCGAAACTAGTCAAACTCTAATTGATGTTATTTGTACTGATGCGCCAACACGAAATGTCACAATTGATAATATAGCTGACTTAGGTAATCATGCCTTTCTTACATGCGAGTTACATTTTAAAATAGACAAAATACTACCTCGGACGTTAGTATATCGCGCCCTAAATGATATCCTACTTGATTATTTTGAACGAGACCTCCAGATAATCCCATGGGATGTGATCAGTTGTAACGATAATGTCAATGAAATGGTACACTTATTTAATCGCTATATCCTAAATTTATTTGACTTGCATTCACCTATTAAAACTGTTATACTCAAGGATCGCCCTTGCCCCTGGATAACCAAAACCATAAAATTAATGAGTTTACGCGATGAAGCACGCAACAAATAGCGATGTTCACTGTCGCCCAGTCATAAAAATTATTATAAACAATTAAAACATCAAGTAAATGTCGCACTATACCACGAGAAAAAACCGGCCAAGAGCGTGTCGGGCCACGCTCAGTGTAGGGTTCCGTAGTTTCCCGTCGGTCACAATAAGTGTTGGGAACACTTATTATTATGAGTTTAAAGGTGGGTATCCATTATGTTCGCGCTCCAGCAGCGCTCCGCGCTCCTGCAACTGCTCCCGGTAGTGGGTACTGTTGTTTCCATCCAAGTTCAAAATGATTTTCCTAGAAAGTCCTTATAAAGTTCTACTTTTCAGATTTTTTTTTCATATTTTCTAAATTTATGGTTCAAAAGTTAGAGGGGGGGGGGGCACATTGTTTTTTAATTTTGGAGCGATTATTTCCGAAATTATTGACATTATCAAAAAATGATTTTAGTAAACCCATATTCATTTTTAAATACCTTTCCAACAATATATCACACGTTAAGGTTGAAATTAAAAAAAAAATCACTTCCCACTTTACATATAGGGGGGCTAACCTAATAAAACATTTTTTCCAATTTTTATTTTACCACTTTGTCGGCGTGATTGATACACATATTAGTACCAAATTTCAGCTTTCTAGTGCTAACGGTCACAGAGATTAAGCGAGGTCGGACAGACGAACAGACAGACATGGCGAAACTATAAGGGTTCCTAGTTGACTACGGAACCCTAAAAAGCGTATTACAAAGTGTTCATTAATAATAATATCAGCAATTCAAAGAAGCTATGGTCAAATCTGAAGGCGTACTCGTTACCACCGAAAAACGAATACGACCTACCGCCACATTTATTGGATCCTGATACTATTAATTCACATTTTTCAAATATACCAGGTTCCTATAACGTAACTATATCAGATCTTACATATTTTGAATTTAATAGATTTACATCTAAAATTTTTATGTTGAAACCGGTATCTCAAGATATTACTTTGAATATAATTAAAAAACTAAAATCTAATACAGTCGGAGTTGATGGTATTAACCTAGATATGTTATTAATGACCCTCCCACAAAGTCTTGAAACTATTACCGCTTTGATTAACCTATCGATAACTACAAGTACATTCCCTGACATCTGGAAACTAGCCTTAATACGTCTTCTTCCAAAAAATGCCAATCCTGCTACCGTGACAGACTTACGGCCCATAAGTTTGCTCCCCTGTGTATCTAAAATACTAGAAAAAGTTATGTATCAACAATTAATTTCATATCTAGTAAATAATGCTATACTGCCTGATCTTCAATCGGGTTTCAGAAAGGGACGAAGTTCTGCTACTGCCCTATCTGACGTAGTAGGTAATATATTGGAGGCCCAAGATAGCATTCTTCATTCAATATATAGAAATTAATTATTAATTATTTATAATAATAATGGGCCATCACACAATGAACATAAACAATGAGGAGCAGAAAATGAATGAATGAGAGTTTTTTTTAATAGTATAATAGTGAAAGACGGGCACATAGTCCACCTGATGGAAGAGGATCATATCGCCAATAAATAACTACATTTATTTAAAATTAAAAATTAAAATGCAGACGAGTTGTCTGAGGTCGCTTGTAAGCTAACATGGAATGCCTCGTTTCCAGTAAACTCACCATATGAAGTGCATCAGTATTAAGCTTCTTTGCAACATACTGTAATATGATAATTCTTATAGACGCCACACACGGTAATTAAAATTGTCAATTGAACTGATGTACATCCAAAAACTAACCGTGAGTGTGGAATCTTAAGTTGAAATTTTCAACTGACGACAACCCACGAATATTTTCGGTCGTGAAACTGCACAGTTGAACTGACGTAAATCCAAAAACTGATCGTGAGTGCGAAATCTTAAGTTGAAATTTTTAACTGATGGCACTCGACGGAGATTTCCGAGCGCGCCATAATCCGCTGGTTTCAGTTCGTATGAATTACTGGTAAGTACCTACTTTCTTAGTAGCTACATACATTGGGTGCGTTTGGCAGAAAAAATCGCTAGCAAGCGCTTGTAAGCAAAATGGCGATCATAAGCGGTAAGCGCTGTCAAGTCGTAAGTATAGTTCATAAAAGATAGCTTGATCTCTGCGACAGCTGTCAGTAAAAATCACGCCTATGAAGTCCTGAATTTCTTAGTAGTAAAGACAGTACCTATCAATGTCATACTTTATGGGCATGCCGATCTAATTAGTGCATGCCCATAAAGTATGACATTGACAGGTACTGTCTTTACTACTAAGAAATTCAGGACTTCATAGACGTGATTTTTACTGACAGCTGTCGCAGAGATCAAGCTATCTTTTATGAACTATAGCTATTTTCCTCTAGGACACGAAGTTAGTTTTAACCGGGGAACCTAACCTAATTTAAATATATGTTTGTAAAGTATTCATTTTAAAAACTTACCAATCCTGAATTTTTAATAACATCTATATATCTATTCATGTCATTATATTACTTAAAACTTATATTGCATAAAAAAACTTATAAACTCTACTTCAAAACAAACAAATTAAATAAGCAAAATGGCGGATTGTGTCAGCGCTACTGAAGTAGCAATCGTGTCCTGGCCGAAAACTATTTCAGCGCTTGTAAGCGTTTGCTTGCGCTTTTTTCTGCCAATCGCACCCATTATTTCTATGCTATTTAGATTTTTTATTATTTTATATATTTAGAGAATTTCGTTTGACTGAGGATGAAGACTAAGGTGAATCTGATGATGTCACTTTCTTTATGATTAACTCAGAAGATGGGTAAAGGATCTTAGTGATGCTACGTAGAACCATCGTATTTTTTTTTCAACTCATTTTCAAAAAGGTTCATGATGACCTAGATGATTATGATGATATCACCTAGCTGATGGTGGACTCCGAAGGTGGGTATAGGATCTCAGTGACGCCACTAGATAAGACGATCATGTTTGAACACATTTGAAAGGGCACGTAAAGATCTAGGTGACTATTACGATATGACCTTTCTGATGGTGCAATACGAAGGTGGATATAGAATCTCAGTGACGCCACTAGATAAGATGATCGTGTTTGAACTCATCTGAAAGGGCACAGAAAGATCTAGGTGACTATTATTATCTCACCCTTCTGATGGTGTCATACGAAGGTGGATATAGGATCTCAGTGACGTCAATAGATAGGACGATCGTGTTTGAACTCATTTGAAAGGGTATATAAAAACCTAGGTGACTATTATGATCTCGCCTTTCTGATGGTGCAATTTAAAGGTGTGTATATGATCTCAGTGACGGCACTATTTTTATATTTTATTATTATTAATTTATAGGAGTCAAG